GGCAGGGCGACAGTATACAGCCTTGCCAAACTCCTTTCTCAATTTTTAACCAATCAGTGGTTCCGTGTCCAGTTCTCACTGTTGCTTCTTGACCTGCATATAAGTTTCTCAAGAGACAAGTAAGATGGTCTGGTACTCCCATTTCTTTAAGAAATGGCCACAATTTGTTGTGATCCACACAATCAAAGGCTTTAGCATAGTCAATGAAGCAAAAGTAGATGTTTTTCTGGAACTCCCTAGCTTTCTCCATGATCCACCGTATGTTGGCAATTTGATCTCTAGTTCCTCTGCCTCTTCGAAACCCTGCCTGTACTTCTGGTAGTTCTCGGTCCACATACTGCTGGAGCCTAGATTGTAGGATCTGATTGTAGGTACTTTTCCTATTATATAGGCAGAGGAACTGGTTTGATCGCCTTCTAGTCCAAGGGACTCGCAGGCATCTTCTCCAGCACTACAATTCAAAGGCCTCAATTCTTCGGCGCTGGTAGTTCTGAAGAAATCCTGATAGTTCTCGGTCCACATACAGCTGGAGCCTAGCTTGTAGGATTTTGAGCATAACTTTGCTAGCATGTGAAATGAGTGCAATGGTACGGTAGTTTGAACATTCTTTGGCATTCCCCTTCTTTGGAATTGGAATGTAAACTGACCTTTTCCAATCCTGTGGCCACTGCTGAGTTTCCCAAATTTGCTGGCATATTGAGTGTAGCACTTTTACTGCATCGTCTTTTAAGATTTTGAATAGCTCAGCTGGAATGCTGTCGCCTCCACTAGCTTTGTTGTTGCTCAGACTTCCTAAGGCCCATTTGACTTCACATTCCAGGATGTCTGGCTTGAGGTCAGTGACCATCCCATCGTGGTTATCAGGGACGTTAAGCTCTTTCTTGCATAGTTCTTCTGTGCAATCTTGCCATCTCTTCTTAATCTCCTCTGCCTCTGCTAGGTCCCTGCCATTTTGGTCCTTTATCATGCCCATCTTTGCATGAAACCTTCATAGCTCCATAGTTCCCTTCATAGCTCCAATTTTCTTGAAGAGATCTCTAGTCCTCCCTATTCTATTGTTTTCTTCTATTTCTTTGCACTGTTCATTTAAGAAGGCATTCTTATCTCTTCTAGCTATTCTCTGGAATTCTGCATTCAACTGGGTGTATCTTTCTCTTTCTCCCTTGCCTTTCGCTTCCCTTCTTTCCTCAGCTATTTGTAAAGCTTCCTCAGACAACTCTACTATGATTCTAATATCCCCACCTGCAAAAAAAGTGTTTCAACTTAGGGTCTTCCTCAGTGATCCAATATGTAAAATAGTAAGTGCATGCATGCGGCTTCTAATCAGATTGTATAGTTCAAACCTCTCATGACAAGTAGCTAATATGAACAAATGTGAGGTCTCCATAAAACTGGCCTAACCTTATCAGCCTCAGAACTGGTATCTACTCTGGCCCCTTAACCAATTTGTATAAGAGGTATGCTTGTTTCACTCTTAAACTACATTGAAAATTTACCTAGCTGAGACAGCACAGTTTGGAACTGCTCCCTGAAATGCTCAAGACCCAAACAAAGCTTTTGCACCAGTTTCTTTAAACACAGGGGAATAACAGCCCCTCCATTTGGTGTGCTATTATAAACTTCTGCCAACTCCTTTTTAATTAAATTAGCTATATATTTCATATATTTGCCCTTCTGGGTGTCTTATTTCTGCACACCCAGTTAAGCAGTGGCAGGAAGCGCATGGGGCTCCTCTTCTGGAGTAAAGGCTGTAGAATCTTCTGGAATAACTTTGGCTGGTGATATGTTCCAACATATCCTCATACTTGTACTGTTTCTCCTCTGGATAGAGATGATCTTCCTGCAGAAGATGCCTTGTAGGCTGGCCACATATGTCAACACAGAGGAAATACATCACCAGAAAACACAAATTTGTATATGCATATTTATGTCATTAGTGATGATTGCTACAATTTTAAAATAAAACACATGGTGAAGACTGACCAGGACTGGAGTCCCCCACAGAGCCCTTTCTCTCCTACCCTTAAAATATAAGAAAGGTCTTGGAAAACATTAGGGCAGACTTGTTTCTCTCCCTTTCTAGTGCTTAGCCTTGCTCTTTCTCTCATTTTTATCTTGCTATTACACTAGTCCCTAGCCTTGTTAACTTATTTGTTAGAGTAATGTCCCACCATTTTTTCTGAAAGAATCCTGAGCTGGCTTACATAATCCTTCTCCTCTCCAACTTTATCCTCGCAACAAACCAGTGAGGTAGGCTGGCTCAAAGTCAGTGATTGGCCCAAAGTCACTCAGTGAACTTCTTGACTGAATGAGGATTAGAACCTGGATCTCCAGAGTCCCAGGCCAGTACTGTAAGCACTATACCAGACTATTTCTCTCCCCTCCTCTTCACTTTTGACTAGCCATGGCAACCATTATGTGACTAGCCACATCCTCCATAAAAGTCATTCTACCATGCTGCCTACAACAGTTTCTCAAATTCCCAAATGTGCCCATGAATATAAAAAGACTGGGGATCCCTGGAGTAGGTGATCTAGTCTGGCTTCCATGTGTCAAAATAGGCAAATTCAAAGCACCTGTTCTTCCGCCTTTTGATTCTTTGACTTTATGTCAGATTTGGACTGTGCACCTCCTTCAGAGGACACCTGCAAGTAGAATTTCTACCAGTTCTTCAAAATAAAGTATTGTCCTCTGCAAAATAGGAAACCCGGCCCTCCCAAATTGTACTTCTGGTTGACAAATATGTTCCTCTTCTGGGAAATGTTGTGCTTTCCTGTTTTGCTTGAGAAACTCTTGTTCCAGAGAATGTTGGGCACCTTGCTCTTTCATTATGTCTCACAGCCCTGGTTCTCATAACTCTTGTCTTTTCTCTTGCAGACAAAGTCAGTTGGATTCATCTGCTCTGGTATTTCAGCACCCTTAAAGTTTTTTGCAATCACTAACTTGTTTTGAATCGGGAGAATGCTACATTTTTCTCTCCAAAAAGGCATTTGGTTCAGCACATTTCACTTAGACCTGCCTTCCATACAAGGGATGACTGTAACTTTCCTCTCCTATAGAAAAGTGGCAACACAGAATTGTCTTTTTAACCCAAAAGTCACTAGTAAGGTCATTTTTTTATTATAACTGATTTGTTGACTTTTAAAATGATTACATCACCCAAACCTCTGCATATAAGATATTATCTTTTTGTATCAGCTTTTAAAAATATTTTCCTCAGCCAGTTATCCAATGTCTCAAACTCCTTTCAAGCAGAAATTTTACTGCTGGTGTCAGTATTTCATTTCTATCATCTAAAATTAGAAGCATAGTAGGTCCAAGCCTACCTGCACACTACTTTTAATTGTAAGATTTTTTCATAAACAGACACACACAGGGGTTGTTTCTAAAGAGGTTAACTGTTTACAACTCTGCCCCCTCTCCTCCACACTTTAAATATCTGCTGAAGTGGCTCATAATCTACAAAAGCTTACATTATACAACCTCCAATTAAGCAAACTGAAGCAGATTTTGGGTGACACAAGGACAGCATGTTATTTTATTCCACAGTCAGGGTTAGCGAGTGATGCTTGTGAGATTGTCTTCATTTACCAAAATAACTTGGCTAGTATGGGGTACATTGCAACTAGCCTTGGGTGGCTGGTGGCAGTATTTGGAGCTCTCTTTCAGGCAGTAAAGTATCATGGGCTTGCTATGCCATAATACATCTGCAAGAGCGCCATCCTATGTACTCCCAGAGCTACTCTCCGGTAAGCAAGTGTAGAACCACATCCTTCGACCTGTATGGGCCCCCAAGACTCTTCGCTGAGGGTTGCTAGCGGTGGAAAAGCTCACTCGGCACATCTGCAGAGACGTTTGTAGCTCGGAAACACAGCGGGTCGGTTTCACACCGAAACAGGATTCCGCGAGGCTGGTTCAAAACCTGGGCTGAGACGAAGACAGAAGGAGACCGCCGAGACCTCACCTCACCTCGCCGTCCACTGCGCCCCGCGCCCCGAGGCCGGCGGGGCCGCGAGCGCGCCACGCCCACAGCCGCACACCCGCTCCTTCCCGGAAGTGCCACGTGTCCCAAGAGCGCCTGCGCGGCCTCGTCCAGTCCCTTCCGGTGTGAGGGCGAGAGCCTCCCCTGCTGAGCTTGCCGCTGGGCGAGCAGCCGCAGGCACCCGCGTACCGACTCTGCCGCCACCGCCATGGCCCAGCCGGGGAGACCCACGTACGGCAGCCAGAATGGCGCCGGGCAGCCGCCGCATCTGCACAGCAACGGTGAGTGAGCCCGCGTGGGGTCCAGCGGAGCCGCCACCGCCGGCTTGCGCTGCGGGGAAGCACGGGCTGAGCGAGGCGAGGGGCCGGTGTCAGGGCTCCTGGCTGCGAGGGGGCGGCGGGCGGGCGAGCCCTCGAGGTCGGTGTGCGTAGCTGTGACCTCCTGAGGCGGCCTCTGGCTTCTCCTCTGAGCTGGACCTGGTGCGCCCGGAGGGGGCTGGACGGGTGATCTCTCCGGGGTTATTGGCTTTTGGCCACGAGGGTTCCCTCATTCTTGTCCAGTCTGAGACCGGAGACTTGGAGGCCTTTCATTCTCGACTGGATCCCTGATTGGAATTCCCTGGCCTTCTAATAGCGAATGAGTAGTGAGTGAGTAGTACGGCAGCGCTTTGAGGAGGAGCAGGAAGATGAGCATTTATGTTGGTTATCGTAACTGTTCTTGATTTTGCGGTAAAAGTTGGCGTTTTAGGTTAGGAGGTTAAGAGGTTAGGAGTGGGGGGCTGGTCGTATTCCTAGAGTGCAACTTTGCTCCTTAAAATTGTATCACCAGAATTTTGTATAGGAATTGGAGAAAAAGTGCTGTGTGGCTGTTCCGTATAGGTAACCGGTCATGTACCCTTTTGACATAGCTTCTTAGTTGAATGGTGAATAGATACTTATAGGAGGGTTGCTTCTTCGGAGTAGCTGTCCCACAGTTCGTTGTAAAAAGAAAATGCTGATGTGTGAACAGGATTACCTGTACTAGTTTCCTTCTGGTATTTTTCAGTGACTACAAAGAATCTGAGTGATTCAAGAATATGAATTGCTAGTTTGAGTTTGGATACATACTTGTAGCATAGGATCACTTTAGTGTTGTTGATTGCTTAATTCTTGCTCCTTCATCGTGGAGCCAAAACTATCACCTGAGTCTGGGTGGAGAACTATATGAACTATGCCCCTTCACCCACGTGTACACCTACAGATTTTTCAGAGAGAAGCAAAGCAATAGCAACCTTTAGATCTAGTCCACTGTGCTGTTGGATAGGGCTGACGGAAGTACTTTCTATATGTCTGCAAATGCATCCTACTTCTGTGTTTCTACAGTGAATAACCATAACCTCTGAACGATGCATTGTCCAATGGATGATTGTCCTGACACCATGTATGGAACAGCAGAGTAAAGCAGCCTGTTTGCACATCCTGGTGGCATCCAGCAGCAAATTTTGGTTTAGTAAACCTATGATCTACCCCTACACATGCACCTTTTCCATTTTTTTGTACACAATTTCTGACTGTGTTTGTCAGAGGTTAGTCAGTTATTTAGGGGCTAAATAATGCATAATGATGGGTTTGTACATCACAATTAGACGTTATTCACAAAAACTTGAAGTGATTTGTTGGCAACATGAGTTCCCATGAACTGTTTTTCACAGTTTGCTGCTGTGCTTTGCAAATTGCATCATATCCAGGTCCAGTCAAAGGTAAATAAAATAGCTATTTTGCTAAAGCTGAGCAGGTCAGAATCTGATCAGTGCTAGGAGATTCCTTGGAATCCATCTTGTTTTCCAATACAAAGAAAGGCAGGCTGTAAATATAAGCATAAAATCATGGTGCCACATACATTTCCTTGTAACAGGAAATGCGTGTGTAAGGTTTCTTCTTTTTAAATCCTTTATTTTGTAATAGATGAGTAAAATGTAAGTAAAATTTCAGTGCAGTTTTCATAAAGTCTTCAGTTGAAACAACAGGTAGCATACATCTTAGTCACCATTTTGGACCTTGTTTGTATATGTGGCACTGTAATGATCATTTGTAGCATGGGAAGAATCTTGAATTTGGCATTTGAATAATCATTTTTTACTTAGGAATCTTCAATTAAAATGGGGATCACAAAAGGATTTTCTTTGTCTCCTAATCCTTAGTAAAACTTGAATAGAAGAGCCTGGTTTCAGATTGTGACTTGTGCTTTACCAACATCATGAATGGCTTTTGTTACAGGTAGTACTTACTCTAAACTACTTGTATATACAGGCAAAGAGTCAGCTACCTGTTGGAGTAGGAAAGCACTATTGTTAAAAATACAAAGTTCTGGATTAATATGTTTAACCTTATATTGGATTGAATAATGAAGGAATTTTGGAACAATCAAAACAGGAAAGTGTCCTCTATATGTTTTGAGCTTCCCCTCCCAGGATTTCTGACCAATGGCCATGCTGGTTGGGAGTTGAAATACCACCTGGAGGCCACCAGGCCGGGGAAGACTAATTTAGAGATTGCGTTGTGCTATGAGAGGCTAGCCACGGATATGGGCTTTGCTAATTATATTTCATAGATTTTCCTTTGCCCAGTTTGAGAGCATCTGATTAGCAAATCATATTTTCATTCACAGCTTAATATTGTCTGATGTTATATTTTGTTTTGGTAATTGCCCATTTGAGAAAGAGAGCTGCTGTGCAGAGATATTTTTTTTTAAATTATCCTGTTATTTTTGTAAGGTCAGCTTCCAAACACAACTGTTGTTTTTGGTCTGCACAGTCATAAGGCCTGGATCCTGAAAATCCTATTGACCTTGCTGTGTGGAGTGAAAAATTCATTCAGATTCTTATTGTTGCACAAAAGCAAGCAACTGCAGGACTTGTTGCATAATAATCTGATGTTCTCGGGTGTCCTCTTTGTTCTTACAGTTAACTATATGTGTATAGCAGAGCATTGGATATGGTGCAAGGATTTTCAGGATTTCAAGAAGACTACCATTATGTAGTCCTGATAAATTAGCTATAACTAGGATAGATTGATTTATACATTGATTTGTGTTTTTGTAAACCAGTCAGAGAGGCATCCTGGCTAATGGGTAGTGTAGAAATCCAGTAAATAAATAAAATTAAAGCAAGGCATTTTAAGTTAACTGATTTAAATCTGCAAGAAAAAGTCCAATTTAAACCATATTTTCCACTGAACTATTATCATATATTTCCTGAACAGTGGTGCAGATCAAACACCTAAACCATGTTAATTTACAGCCAGAATATTATTTACACTTGGTTTTTCTAAGCAGACTGCATCTTTTTGTCTCACTTAGCTCTTTAAAATAAAATATTTACCTATGCAGGACATGTCTTTAAAATAGTCCTACATAGGATCTTTCTTATGACTGGCACTCACATGTTACACATGTCTACTCAGAAATAAGTTCTGCTGAATTCAAATACGTTTATTTCCTGACAAATGGTTATAGTATTTCAGCCCAAGCCTAGGATTACAGGAAGGTACACACTGGACAATTAAGTTAGCTTTTTCCTTCCCAGTATTACTGCTTTTTACTTCACTTTGTTTCAGCCTAGCCTGGTTCTTAGAAAAACAAAGTAGCCATAAGAAATGAAATACCCATGACAGATAGATTGAACTAAGGTTTGAGACTTACCAGTCTAGAGCATGTGAACATTTTTGTCATGTGAAAATGAATTGCCTTGGGTAAGTAAGTAAAGTTGTAAGCATTCATATTTAAGAAATTATCATACTGGTTCTTCAGTTTGGTAGAAAAGCTTCCTTTATCCCATTGTAACTGGTAGTGCTGTTGATCCTGGTTAGATACTAACTAGATTGCATAACATGTTTATATTCATGCAGTGTTAACTTAAATGTTATATTAGATAAACTTAGTCTTTAAAATTTCTTTAGCATCAAAAATTCTGTTTAAAATTTATTTTTGACTTTTAAGTTTTTTATCTACCCTGCTATATTTTCCTTCTGCCTTGCTTAGGTCAACATCTTTGCCTTGCTTTTCCGCCACATAAACAAGAATACCGGCCATCTATGCAGACTGTGATCTGGTTTGCATGTATTTATTTTATTTGCTTATTTATTACATTTACATACCACCCCATAACCCACAGGTTCTCTGGGCAGTTTACAAATTTAAACGTCATTTATACATTTTATTAAATAAACAAACAATACGACAAGGCAACAGCCTCAGCAGCTATAATAATTTAACTCCCTGGTGCAGCAGCAACTTATAAAACAGTATTTTAACTGGCACAGAGGATAATAAAATACTATTTAAAACTAACACAGCAAGACTTAACTATTAAAATAACTGGGAAATAAAAAGGTTTTCACTTGGCACCAAAAAGATGGCAGGGATGGCACCAGGTGTACCTCTCTGGGAACCATATTCTGAAGATGGGGTTCCCTTACTGAACAGGCCCTTCTCATGGTTGCCAGCCCCTTACTTCTCTTGTGAGGGGTGTTTCCTGAGAAGGACCTTGGCAGATGAGCTTAAGGGCTGGGTAGGAATATATGGGGCAGTTAACCATTCCTTCATATAACCTGATCCTATGATGTTTAGGGCTTTCAGTGTTAGTACAAGCACTTTGAATTTGGCCTGAACTTCAACTGGCAGCCAGTGTGGCTGAAAGAGTATGATGTGATCTCATGGGCCATTCCCCATTAATAGCAGCGCTGCCCTATTCTGAATAAGTTGGCATTTCTGGACCATTTACAAATGCAACTTCACACAGAGTACATTAGAATAGTCCAAATGAGAGGTTACCAGGGCATGGATAATGGTGAGCCTCTGCCTTGCAAGATAGGGATGTAATTGGTAAATCAGCCTAATCTGATAAAAAGTGCTCTTAGCCACTGAGTTCACTCATGACTTCAGTGAGTTCTGGGTCTAGGAGCCTCCCCAAACTATGTACCTTGTTCTTTAGGCAGAGTGCAACTTTGTCCAGGAGAGGTTGAAAATATCCCACCTGGGCAGATGATCTCCCACCAGCAGCACCGTAACTTACATCTTGTCTGGATTGAGTCTCAGGTTATTGGCCCACCTCCCATACATTACTGAGTTCAGGCAGTGATTTGAACAGCCACTGCCTTAGCTGGATTTAATGAAAAAGAGAGGTAGAGCTGAGTGACATCTGCATATTGATGACACCTCAGCCCCTACCTCCAGATAACTTCTCCCAGTGGTTTCATGTAGATGTTAAAGAGCATGGGGGATAAAATAGGGTGTTGCAGTACCACAAATGAAACCACAATTTGTTGTGCACAAGTGAGAGTGAATAAGTTCCTCACTTTTCACTTTTAAACAAACCTATGGTTGATCAGGTTATTGATTATGACCCAGGAGCCCAGAGCACTGAGTTACCATATTTTTCGCTCTATAAGATGCGCCTGACCATAAGACGCACCTAGTTTTTAGAGGAGGAAAACAAGAAAAAAAATATTCTGAATCAAATGGGCACATAATCACAGGCACATTCCCCATCACTTCCCCATGGGCTGCCCATCTGACAGACTTACTGCACACACATATTCGCTCTATAAGACGCACAGACATTTCCCCTTTTGAGGGGGGAAAAAGTGTGTCTTACAGCAAAAAATACGGTATTTAGTCCAATGCCAGCACTGCAGAGTCATAGCTTGGGTCATATGTTGCAAGCACAACATATCAGAGGTAAATTAAAAGCAGAAGTGATGAGCGTGTGGGAGTAGGCATACTTGCTCACTCTTGCTCTTTCCAGCAGATCATGGGATTAAACTACATGCAAACTGGCCGTGTTTTCACATGTGTGACTTTAGTCAGAGAAACAAGCTGAGAGGCCAAAATACTGAGGAAGCAAGAGCTGTCAGGCTGAATTGAACCATTTTCATGACATGAAAAACTGAAATGAATGCCCATGTTTGTTTGGTGAAAAATTTAATTTTTATGAGAATGGGACTTCAGGGTTACCATGCTGATAATGAGAGTTAAATGAAACTATGTTGCTATTTAAATTAGAAAAATTTAGTATTTTATTTTATTTTTAAAAATTCAGTAAAACAATGTGATTTTGAATCTGCATTTTTAAAGCTTCCCAATCTGGTTCCAGTCTTGATTTGTCACAAGTCTGCGTCTAGCTATTCTTTATTCAGAGACTGCGTGAATCCTCATACTTACTTTCTAGCAATTCTTTCCCCCCCTTCTATTTAGGTTCTAGTGGGGTTGCCTCTTGTAATATACTGCATGCTGTCACTTTGGTGGCTTCCTTCATTCTCATGGTTGTTGGTGCATTCTTTACAACAGGAATAGGAAAACTTACACATGGAAATTCTTTATTTGATCTATGTGGGGAGGGGGGATCCCCCATCCCCAGGTCCTGCTTCCTCTTTTCCAGGACTCACTGGTTTAAACTGTGATCACTGTGGGTTCCCATTGGTTTCCCTTTGTGCTTTTTTGTACTTGCTCAGATTATATGCAGATGTTTCATAGGGGAGAGGTATATCTGAAAACCACTTTCTGTTTTTGAATGCATCTGAAATCCAG